CATGTTTCCTGGTCCCACCGGATGGCGAGGCATCAGCCACCGGGGTGGCATTGAGGTTGATGGGCGCGGGCGTGGAAGGAGCCACCACTCTCACCTCCGGCGAGCATTCCCCGGAGAGTTGGGAGGCATGCAGGTAGACGTGGAAGCCGGGGATCAGGTGCGTCGCCGACGCACACGGCGACTTCGGCAGCACCATCTGAGGAAACGCGGACTAGCTGGTGCTGGTCGCGGCCATGGCGGCGTTGATGAGCCTGTGTTGGCCAGGGTTTAACTCTAGGTAGAACAGTGCCTCCCTCGTTGCCGCCGCGATGCAGACGTTGGTGTCCTCCTGCTGTGCGACGGTGCTACGTCTTGAGCTTGCGTTGGTTTTCCCCGAAGAGGAAGGGATGATGCAACAGAGTAGCGTAAGTATTTCCCTCAGTTTTTGAGAACCAGGGTATCAATCCAGTAGGAGGCCACGCTCAAGTCCCTCGTACCTGCACAAAGTGATAGCTACTCGCAACCAACGCGATTAGAGGTTGTCAATCCCTTCACGGTCACTTACGAGAGTGAGATCTGATAGATATAATATTTTTGATATTTTTGGTATAAAGATGCAAAGTAAAAAGCAAAGCAAGATTAAAGTGATGGAGATTGATATGATGAGAATAGACCCGGGGGCCATAGATTTCACTAGTGGCTTCTCTCAAGAGCATAAGTATTCTACGATGGGTGAACAAATTACCGTTGAGCAATTGACAGAATTGAGCATAGTTATGCGAATATCTAGGCATGATCATGTATATAGGCATCATGTCCGTGACAAGTAGACCGAAACGATTCTGCATCTACTACTATTACTCCACTCATCGACCGCTATCCAGCATGCATCTAGAGTATTAAGTTAAAAACAGAGTAACGCTTTAAGCAAGATGACATGATGTAGAGAGATAAATTCATGCAATATGAAATAAACCCCATCTTGTTATCCTTGATGGCAACGATGCAATACGTGCCTTGCTGCCCCTTCTGTCACTGGGAAATGACACCGCAAGATCGAACCCAAAGCTAAGCACTTCTTCCATGGCAAGGACTACCAATCTAGTTGGCCAAACCAAACGGATAATTCGAAGAGACTTGCAAAGATAACCAATCATACATAAAAGAATTCAGAGAAGATTCAAATATTATTCATAGATAGACTTGATCATAAACCCACAATTCATCGGTCTCAACAAACACACCGCAAAAAGAAGATTACATCAAATAGATCTCCACAAGAGAGGGGGAGAACTTTGTATTGAGATCCAAAAAGAGAGAAGAAGCCTAGCTACTAACTATGGACCCGAAGGTCTGAGGTAAACTACTCACACTTCATCAGAGAGGCTATGATGATGTAGAAGCCCTCCGTGATGACGGCCCTCTTCCGACGGAGCTCCGGAACAGGCCCCAAGATGGGATCTCGTTGATACAGAAAGTTGCGGCGGTGGAATTATGTTTTTGGCTCCTGTTCTGATCGTTTGGGGGTACGTAGGTATATATAGGAGGAAGGAGTACGTCGGAGGAGCACCGAGGGGCCCACAAGGCAGGGGGCACGCCCTAGGGGGGGCGCCCCCCACCCTCGTGACCGCCTCTTTGACTCCTTGGAGTAGGGTCCAAGTCTTCTGGATCACGTTCGGTGAGAAAATCACGTTCCCGGAGATTTTATTCCGTTTGGACTCTGTTTGATATTCCATTTCTTCGAAACACTGAAATAGGCAAAAAATAGCAATTCTGGGCTGGGCCTCCGGTTAATAGGTTAATCCCAAAATAATATAAAAGTGGAAAATAAAGCCCAATATAGTCCAAAACAGTAGATAATATAGCATGGAGCAATCAAAAATTATAGATACATTGAAGACGTATCAGACGGCAGCAAGGGCGGCTGCGGTTGCTGCTTCGTCCCTTGGTCCCTTGCGTCTGCCACGTGCCTTCGGCCCTTCCTCTTGACCGGCTGCACGATCCGCTCCTCCGGCGTCAGCTTCTTCTTGGGCGGCGCAGCGGTCTTGTGAGCGCGTGGGGCTTGCCTTTGCTGGTGGGGGGCGGAGGAGAGGCCGGACGAGGCGAGGGAGGCGAGGCCGGCGGCATCATCGAGGGCGTCATCTATGGCGAGCGGCCGGGAGTGCGCGGGCGGGAGGATTTTTGGGAAATTGGAGGGAATGATGGATGCGTTGCCACCAACTGGCGGGCCAGGGGGAATATTTGCCGCATGGCACGCGCGGCCGTCTCGTGTCCATGGCGACGCACATCAGGCTAAAAATGGTGTGTCGGCAGGCGGACGAAAAGCGGACGCGCGTCCGTTTGGGCCGGCGCGTTGTGCCGACTTTTCTTCCGCCACGATCCAAACGAGCACACGTGGACGAAATGGGTCGGTATGTTGGAGTTGCTCTAATGGATATAACACCGACTGAGATTATGTTATGTCTTGGTCGACTGAGACTTAGGAAGACTCTTACCGAATTTACATGCCGTTAATCCCCGGCAAACAATCAAGCAGTCTAACTCTACTGAGCGGCCATCACGGCTGTTTTCTAAGCAAAGGAGCACAGTGGCTACGTAATCTGCCGGCGCCGGCCATGACTAGGGAAGCATCGGACCGCGGTTTGGCCGGCGTAAAGTTTGCACCCCCCGGCGCCACTAGCCCACCATGCATGGAAGCTCAGAGCATCTTCAGCCCTTGGCCCTCCAGGGGCGCCTAAAATCGCCCTCTGGGGATGAGCCGGTGCAAAAACTCGGTCTAGGGCCGAGTTGGTCCCCAGCCGCCGGTCCCAGGGCCGTCCCCAGGTGCGTTTAAAATAATTTAAAAAATATAGCAAAATTTAAAGTTCAGCGAAGTTCGGCATATATTACATTTAAAAGCGGGTTTTTATTACATAATATATATAATTGAAAAAAGAACTGACTAAAAGCGGAGTAGTAGTCGTCGTCGTCGTCGTCGTCATCCGGCTTCTCCTCCTTGACGCGGCCGTCCCTGGTGGACCCCTGACCGGCGTCGCCTATGCGAGCTGGTGGCGGCGGCGCGGCGTCGTCGTCGCTGTCCTCGATGACGACGATCCCTCTCTCGTCGCGGCCCCGGCGGCGCTGCGCGAATCGCCGCAGGGCGGCGCACTGGCGCTCACTCGCCATCTTCAGGGAGTCCGCGCGCGCCCATTCTAGGGCCGCGTCGTCGTCGAGCTCGACGTCGCCGCCGTGCTCCGTCTTCACCGCGGGGAGGCCCGGCTCTGTCTTCACCGGCGCCAGGCCCGGCTCCGTCTTGGGCTTGATGAAGCGCGGAGGAGCCGACGAGGGGGCGCGCCGGCCGCCCTCATTGATGACGATGCCGGAGCTGCAAGTGCGCCGGCCGAGCGGCGTCTCCGCCGCGGGCTCGGCCTTGACGCCGAGCAGCGCCGGAGCGCCGGACGAGTGTGAGGAAGAGCGGGAGGAGGAGGAAGATGAGGAGGCGCCGAACCTCCTGGGCAACCATTGCCCGTCGCGTCGGCGGTGAGCCGTGGCCGCGGCGGCCGCCCTCGCCGGGGGTATGCCAACGGCGGGTCGTTGCCGCCCTCGAGGTACGTCAGAACGCCCTCGAGGGTGCGGCCGGGGACACCCCACTACATGTGGCGTCCCTCACTGTTCTTCGGTCCGCCCACCACCGGCGCGCCGTTGGTGGACGCCATCCTCTGTTGCTGCCGGCGCTGGAAATACGTCGTCCACGCCGCTATGTTGTCGGCGGCGTACTCGGGGAGGGCGAGCTGGGCGTTGGTGAGGGAGACGCGCACGACGTCGACCTCGTCGGCGAAGTAGCCCGGTTTCGCCACGGCGTCGGGCAACGGGGGAATGGGCACTCCCCCGTTGCTGAGTCTCCACCCCGTTGGCCCGGCGCGCATGTCCGACGACGCCGGAATGTTCGCCTGGAACAGGAGTCAAGATTCCTGTTCGCGGAGCGATCGGCGGCCGAAGCCGTTGGCCGCGGCCTCATCGCCGGGGAATCGCTCGACCATCGGGAGAGGGAGGGAGGGAGAGGGAGGGCTCGGCGGCGGCGCTCGGGGGAGCTAGAGGGTGGGCTAGGGCTGGTGTGGCCAGAGCCAAGGGAAGCCACCGGCTTATATAGCGCGCCGCCCCGTGACGCGCCGCCCGTGAGGAATCACTGGTAAGGCTGACCCGGCGGCAGCCTTGCCATTGATTCCTCGCGGGAAACCGAGGCGTTCGGGAAAGGAGACGCGCGGTGTCGCTGACGCGGCGGGCCCGCGGCTCTTTCGCGCCAAAACCGCTCGCCCCGGCGCCCCCCAGCGTGCCGGGTTCGGCTTGGGTCCGCCGGCGCTAAATTCGGTCCAGATCGATGAAAATCGGGCTCCTGAAGACGTGACTGGGTCAATTTTTCTACGCCGGCGCGAAAAAAACGCGTGGGAGGCCTTTATAGGGGCGCGGGTGAAGATGCTCTCCTCGATGAGTTCACTGAAACATATCCATCCGCCCAAAGCTGACCCTATGCTCTTGGGAACCTTCCGCGGACAGCTGTGGCGCTCATCGATAGGCGACGGGAATCTGCCCAGCCATGTCGTCATCCGTTGGAGCGGGAATAGAGTATCGCCCCAAATTTGACTCGCGTGCGTCGCCGCTGCGTCTGGAGCCGTGCCCGGAAGCAACTGGGCAGCGCGGCGCGCGGCGCGAGCGACACGCTCCGGCGTGCGCGCGCTGCACAGCTCATCGCTGCCCCCGCTCTGTCCCCCCGCCCGCCACGCCATACCCATACCACCCTTCCCTCCCCGGATCATACCTTATGCCGCACGTAGGACGGTAGGGGTACACGAGAGGAGTAGGATAGGAACCATCGCCGAAGTCGCACGAGCCGGGGCGCGACCACGCCTATAAATAAGAGCCATGAGCGGGTGCAATTCCACTCATCCCATCACCACAGCACCAAGTCACAAGCAAGAGTAGGAGCTCGATCACCGAGTGTTAGCTCTCACAGTTCGCAAGTGTTTCGTTTAAGCAAGTCGGCAATGGCTACGATTGCTCTGATAGTGGCCATGGTGCTCAGCCTGGCGCAGCTCTCCGCCGGGAGCAGGAGGCTGATGGAGCTGTACGTGCCTCCGGAGAGCGACCGGCTCACGTACCACCAGGGCGGCGTGCTCGGCGGCGACATCCCCGTGTCCATCCTCTGGTACGGCAAGTTCACGCCCGCGCAGAGGTCCATCGTCGCCGACTTCGTCGTCTCGCTGAACTCCGCGCCCAACGGGGCCGCCACGCCCTCGGTCGGGCAGTGGTGGGGCACCATCGAGCAGCTCTACCTGTCGAAAGCCGCTGCCGCTAACGGCCACGCCGGTGCTACGCATGTGCTCCTCGCCGAGCAGGTGACCGACGAGCAGTGCTCCCTCGGCACGTCGCTAACCCTGGCCCAGATCGACCAGCTCGCCGCGAGCGTCGGCGCCAAGAAGGGCGGCATCGCGCTGGTGTTCACCGACGAGGACGTGGCCGTGGAGGGCTTCTGCAGCAGCCGGTGCGGCAGGCACGGGTCGTCCGCCGGCGGCGACTCCACGCACATCTGGGTGGGCAACTCCGTGAAGCAGTGCCCCGGGCAGTGCGCGTGGCCGTTCGCGCAGCCGCAGTACGGGCCGCAGGGCGCGCCACTGGTGGCGCCCAACGGCGACGTCGGGATGGACGGCATGGTGATGGTCCTCGCCACCATGGTGGCCGGCACCGTGAGCAACCCGTACGGGGACGGCTACTACCAGGGCCCCAAGGGCGCGTCCCTGGAGGCCTGCACGGCGTGCCCCGGCGTCTACGGCAGCGGCGCGTACCCGGGCTACGCCGGCAACCTGCTCGTCGACCCCGCCACCGGCGCCAGCTACAATGCCAACGGCGCCAACGGGAGGAAGTACCTGCTCCCGGCGTTGTACGACCCCGCCACGGCATCCTGCAACACGCTTGTCTAGTCCCATGCGTCCATCCGGGCACGGCCAGACTTTCCCTGTACGCTTGAGAAGTTGTACATAGTGTAACGTGTTGGAAGAAATGGAAATTGCTTCGTTCGTTTATATCGGCATCTGTTCCGGCCCATAAAGAACTTCTTTTTTCCTCATATAAATTCATCTTCTTTTTTTGACTTTTTTAGAAGAATCTTTCTCTTTTGCTAATCCCTTTTCGGTCGTGGTTTTTTCTTTAGCGAATACTATTCAGATCGCGGCTATAGATCATTGTCAGCTTTTTTTTAGACAACCTTGTGAAACTTTATTCATCCGTCACAATGTTTAAAGGGACGAAGGGAATTTCATTGGGCTGGCCTAACCAAACATGACGGCCACGTCCAAGAGTTAAAGTATGTTTCGCTAAATTGTGAGTTTTGACATTTGAGCTCCTAAGCTCATGATCTAAAAATCATGAAGTAAAAGAAGAAATTTGTTGATTGATCTCCCGAATAATTGCTCCGTACGTGGTTGCACTTCCCTTCTTGATCTCCTGGACCACCCCCTTGGAGTCGGACGCCATATATAACATGTCTAGGTTCAAATCCATCGCCAAGGAGAAACCCTCTCGAATTGCACATGCCTCCAATGTGGCTGGGTCGACCAAGTTGAACACCATAGCAGATGCTCACAGGAATCCTCCTCCTGAGTCCCGACAAATTGTAGCAACTGAACCATAGCGGCCTCCCCGGCCTACAGCTGCATCTACATTAATCTTGGAGTGGTATTCTTGGGGTGCTAACCAACCAGCGGGGCATATAGTGGAAGTCACCCTTGTAACTTTCTTTGGTGAAAGCACCTGAATATCTTGCAAATAGAAATTGATAAAGCTGTGGATGGCGTGTGGACTTTTATGGATGTCTTCATGGATAGCTTTTCTTCGCGCCCCCCAAATCGCCCAAAGTGACACGGCCGCCCTGACGAATTCTTCAGTGGGTAGCGCTTCCTGTAACTTGAACAACCACTTCTTCGCGCACTCCTGCTCGTTCATACTTAGCTGATCAAGAATCACATCAGATGATAGTGCCCAAGTACTCCGTGAGACCGGGCAATCCAGTAAGGCATGTCTCCAAGTATCACGAACTCCGCAGAGGTGACATGCCGCCGTGGTTGCCATATTGCGCCTTAGCAAGAGCTCACCCGATGGAATAGAGTGTTTGGCCAAACGCCATAAGAAAACTTTGATCTTTGACGGGACTCGCAGCTTCCAAACTGAATTCCATTTTCTTCTTTCCCCCCTGAGCTGTTGATGCTTCTTCTCTCCCTTCCAACCAATCCTCCCGACGGCCTTCGTCCGGACAAGTATCCGATAGGCAGAGCTAACTGAGAAATTTCCCCTCGGCTCCTCTTCCCAGGCCCAGAAGTCATCAACCCTTCGCATGCATAGTGGGATCTGTAGTATTGCTTCTGCATCTATGGGTGTGAAGACCGATCTTATCAACTCCACCGGCCACGACGTTGTAGTTGTTTCAATGAGCCCCGACACATGCAGCGGTGGCGACGGGACTAAAGATGTAATCGACCTTTTGTAACTTTGCTTCAGAATCCAGTTGTCGCGCCAGATGTTAGTGGACTCGCCATGACCAATTCTCCGTGTAATGCCCTGCGACGTGATATCCCTTCCGTCTAGGATAGCCCTCCAGATTTGCGAAGGATGCGCTCCCAGCTCCGCATCAAGCAAAGAACAATCTGGGTGGTAAATGGACTTTAGTATTCTTGCGCTCAATGACTCCGTGTCATTTTGTATCCTCCATGCTTGCCTAGCAAGAAGAGCTAGATTAAACAGCTCCAAATCTCGAAAACCAAGTCCTCCCATATATTTTGGTCTGACCATAATATCCCAAGCGACCCAGGCTGGTTTTCGTTTTCCTCGTTTGCTGCCCCACCAGAATTGTCTGGTTATTGAAGTAATACTCTCACATAATCCTCTAGGAAGTCTGAAACATGACATGGAAATCACCGGGATTGCTTGGGCAATTGATTTGATCAACACCTCCTTGCCTGCTGCAGACAATAGTTTCTCCATCCATCCTTTAATCTTCTCCCACACCCTATCACGCAAATATTTAAAGGTGTCATTCTTCGAGTGTCCAACGTCGGTGGGCATCCCCAGATATCTCTCACTTA